AATACGTGTATACGTGTCAAATTAGACGCGTCTCAACAAACCGACTTTGACCAAGTCGACCAGCTTGTATCACACGTAATTGGGTAATTGATTACTAGTTGGGCTTTTTAGGTTCACAAAATTGGGCTTACGATATTCTTAAATTTAAAAGGACAATAATTAGGCCCAATGTTCTGTTCTGCTGCTCACACCCATTCTAGGGCCAGTGTTCCATTCCACATTAACTTTTGTTGTTTGAGCTCAAGATAACATGTTACAAAAATAATATATCTATTCATAAAAAATGTCTTTATATCAATTATAAGAATAAAAAAAAATATCTAAATTGATGAGAAAATAGCAATTTTCAAATTCTATTTCTCGAACAATACAAAATAAGCGAAATTTTTCATATGGTACAAAAGAAAACCAAAATACGGGTTGATCCATTGATCGGATGCATTTCATCAACGGCACAACAATCACAACTTTTTTATGCAATGACGTTTTATTTGGTAACAGAAAAGAGTCCATACTATCAAGCTATTGAAAAATTCATAGTTCAAACGTAATTTCACTTAGTATAATTTATTCATCCCAACCATGAATATTATAGGAGATTCGTTATTACTCTGCATCATTGAAATTTATGCCTCCATCATAAACAATCTCTTTTTTTTTTCCTCAAAGTGTCATTATTTTCCATCATCAAGTGCACGAAACCCTAAGGAAAAGATTTAAATGGTAATATTTTCAATTGTGAAACACTATTTTCAATAAGTTAAATTTACCTCGTCCAAGTCATCAGCATCGTTTAAGATTACTCTTCTCACCGTTCCTAAGGATTTTAGTGACAACTTGATTCTTAGGTTGTTAGGCGATATTTTGATATATCAAGAAATTCATTCTTTAGATGAGTTTACACTTTATAGTTCAGATTCAAATATGCGTAGGCTATGTCTGAATGCAACAAATTTTTATAAAATATAAGAATAAAAAATGTCGATTGGTACAAAAATATCAATCTTCAAATTATATTTATTGAACAATAAAGAATCAACGAGATATGTCATATCACACGTAAGGAAATATAAGGGTCCAAGATAGGATGCACAACTCTTGTTATGCACAAATGTGTAATCAGAATTGGTCATTTGATTTTGAATGGGGATCTAAGGGTTTAGACTAAAACATTTTTTAATTTTCATACTTTTTTTAATTTATTTATACTGTTTTGTTTTAACTTAAGTTACAAGTTTTTTTTTCCACAGATGGAACAAACTTGTTGTTTCACCAGAGAAATATGCCATGCAGTTAGTAACCCCTAACCAGAGAGTAATGATGGAATGACGAACAAATTCTCTTCCAACAAATTAGAACTTTTATTTTTGTTACTATATAGTAATGTTATATATATGAATGAGCAACTGAACTCTGCTGCTAAATGCAGGTAATTCATCATGACTTAGTAAAATCTAATTCTTTCTGTTGTTCTGTGAATCTACTAAATCCATGTTTCGACCGATTAAAAGATATAGATTGAATGAGGATATGATACTTCCGAGAAGGGCTCACGAAGGAATTAAATTTTGACAATCACGTCCAACTAATTTAACAAATTAAATACCGACAACTACCCATATAAATATATGCAATAATGACGACTGAAATTTGGGACAATAATCATGATCATGCACGTAACATAGCTAAGCTTTGTGTGGGGAAGACAAACTAATTGAGGCAAAACCTTCTCCAAGTTTTTTTTTTACATCAACTTGTATGAATTTCATTGATCAGAAGTTACTTAATATGATCAACTAAATACATATTTGATCTATCACACAAAACAATAAGCTCATCCCAATTCCCAATATATAATTATATGTGCATATAATTAATGAGTTGTCTGCATGTCTTAGGAATTCCACTTTTAAGTAATTAAATTGTGATAGTGGAACTCTGAAAAGTCATTATATTATATATGACATGACTTGTTTTCTTGTCTTGCTCATAGCTAGAAGAAACGCGGCACACATGATGTAATGTGGACTTCATAGGTGAGGAATTTAATGGATTTGATCACAAACTTTGATTTTAGTGGACTATCGGTTTTTGGAGGTCATAACTTCATATACGCTTTACACAAATCCCCGTTATGCTTTGGATTTATCATTGGATTCTGTTTTCTTAACGAGTTTATCAAATTGGTGATTTTTTCATCTAAATTGTCCATATTTCTTTCTTACGATAGGAGAACCCAACACACATTCGTTTGAGGCAACGTCAATTACACAATTTATAATATTCAAAAAAGGTTGTATAGATCTTAGTTAGTAGACATGGACTATTTCTTTTGGACCGTTCAATCCAACCAAAACCCATTACTCAACCCCGGTTAGCACAATGGTACGACCGAACCGATCTCATGCTTGATGGTTCGATAGACGATGTAAGCACTAAGCAACCATCACACTACAACCCGTTAATCACAATGAATTCATGTTCGATGTAAGAAGCCATTAGGCCCATTACACCATGTAGCCATCCATTACATGTTTGGGCCTGCGATCAATTAAACCAGAACCTTAGCTTCACGCAGTGGGCTTGGCAGCTAGTTCTGGGGTCAACCCGTATTCGGGCCCATAGATGGAAATTGTTAAACGGACCCATACAACACGCATGAGCAGTGAAAATAAAGGCTAATCGTCAGCAGGCAAATTAATTGGATCCTTGTCCATGGAAATATATGTTAGTGTAGGTGAGAGCAAGCAATGTCGTGTTTATAAAAGTTGTTTTTCGATTTTATTTTAATGAATGAGTGCTTAAGTAGTCTTTATCCAATCGGTTGATCTTGTCCCGCATGCTCAACTAAAAACTTATCGATTTAACCGGTCGAGTAATCCAAGTCCACACATCGATGTGAAGACGTATACTTTGAAAACAGTAAAACCCACCAAGACACACCACAAATGGTTGAATTGCTTCGATTATATGTGACCCTTTCGCCCATTGAGAAGACGTATACTTTGAAAATAATAAAATCCACCAATGCACAACACAAATGGTCGAATTGCTTCGATTATATGTGCATTTCGACTTTTTTCGTGGTGATTGTGGAGGGTAACTTTGAAAGTCATAATTGTCCAACTCACACAACGTAAAATTCCTTCCCCATTGTGTGTGTGTTTGCAATGCTCAAATGAAAAACCATGGTATAACGAGTCAAACATGCTCTGTGCAGGTCTGCAGGACAAAACGTAGGTTAAACACTTACATTCGATTGCATGGCAGAGTGGGGCATCAAAATCAAGTGTGAGATGTGATTCGTGTATGGTGATACATGCTCCTTGTCGTTCATAATTAGAGGTTGTTTACTTGTTTTTTTTGACAAACCTTTGGTACAAGTTTACAAATGACAGTTACCAGAATTACAAGCCATCCATAGAAAAAATGTTTATAAACTTTGTTACATACAACAGGCACTAAACTGTTTGGAGTTTAGTGTCCCATAAGTCCAAGTGAAAGTTCGAAGGTGTTGACAACTCCTACATAATATAATTAAAATATATGTGACATCGTGCTATTTTAGTGATATGAAAAGGCTGAATTATAGTTAAATCACGATATTTAAATACATAATACCTTATCAGTTATCACTAACTATTCGAAACAATTAATGGTACATTTACAAGACGTAAACCACTCGGCATTATTAGGAAAGTCATCTATATTTTTATAATCTATACTAAGGATGTCAAACCTATATCCGGCTGACCGGCTCAATCAGGTTCAACCAAAATTGATCATCTAAACTGTTGGAATACATTTTGGTTGGACGATTTTTTGCACAACCAGGTTAATCCAGTCAAAGGTAGAATAAACCATTGGAAACCGGGTGGTCTGACCAGTCCAAATTAGATTTGAAGATGAGTATTGATAGTTTTGTAATAAATATTTTTTCTGGAAAGATAATTTGATAATATATGAATGTAAATTAGTGAGATTGTTTTAAAATATATGCATAATTTATTTTAGGGTTAATACCTTATTTTGGCCCGAACTATTACCATATAATCAACTTTGGCCCGTGGTTTCAGAAATTAACATCCTGGCCTCAACTATGCAACATATAGACTCAATTGGCCCGACACATAATTTGACCGTCAATTTGGACGGTCAACTCCGTTGACCGTTAGTCAACATGCCATGTTATTGCCTAGTCAGCCTAAAAATCATTAAAAAAATTTAAATTCAATTTTTTTTCCTAATTTCTATTATTTATCATTTTCCAATTAACCAAAAAATAAAATTCTAAAAATATAAAATAATTTTTTTTATATTTGAAAATGATAAATTTTATAAATTAACCAAAAATTATCAAATTAAATTTTATAAATTTAAAAAGTATGATATAAATTATATTTTGGTGGGAAGTTTTAAAAATATAAAATAATTTGATAATTTTTGGTTAATTTATAAAATGTATCGTTTTTCAAATTATCCAAAAAATAAAAAATCAAATTTATTTTATGTTTTTTATAATTTATTTTTGGTTAATTTAATAATAAATAAGAAAAATTAGAAAAATAATATGAAATTTGCATTTTTTAATGATTTTTAGACTGACTAGGCAATGACATGGCGTGTTGACTAACGGTCAATGGAGTTGACCGTCCAAATTGACGGTCAAACTATGTGTCGGGCCAATTGAGTCTATATGATGCATAGTTGAGGCCAGGATGTTAATTTCTAAAACCACGGGCCAAAGTTGATTATATGGTCATAGTTCGGGCCAAAATAAGGTATTAACCCTTTATTTTATGTTACTTATTAGAGATTTTCTCACATGTTATATTAAAACCGATTTGAATTGGTTGAACTCAATCCAAACATTAAATTTCAAACCATTAATTAGACCGACTTGATGACTTAATTTGGTTTGACAACCTTCATCGATAAACTTACAAAGGCGGCCTTATTGGCCTTGCGCGCTAAGTAAACCTCTCTCTTTCCCCGTCGCTCTCTGTTTCACTCTCCTTCAGTACTTTTCCACAGGTTCTTCCAAATTCCTCACCTTCCCCCCGCCCCAACTATTTCTGACTGCTTCACTGGTTACTGCTCCCCACAGCCACTCAGCCTACTCTGCGACGACTCTACTGACTGTTGGCTTCTACGGCGAATAGGAAAAGAAAGGAAGGGACAATTTCCTTCGCAAGTTCCCCAAAGTCACCCGTCTATTCATATACGAGAAACAACCCAGCTGAGACTGTTTAAGGGAAAGTGGCGGGCTTGCTTTCTTTTCATCCTACTTCCATCGTGCGACATTCCTGGCCTTCGGAGCTGTGCTTGTAGGTAGGTTTTTTACTGGGTTGAGCTGTGGCTAGAGGGTTTTCATGGATTTGGGGGATTTTGTTGAGATGATCGTGAGAATTTTTTAGCTGGTTGGAGCTCGGGGGTTGGGTTAAACGATGGGTTTGAATTTGTTTTTGGAATGAGATTGTTATCAGTTGGAAGCTTCGTTCTTTTATGATCTTGGTAGGGTTTATTTGCTTTTGCAAATTCGTTCAGTAGTTCCAAGCGACCAGAGTTGAAATGTTGCGAGAATCAGTGTGTAATTTACTATAGATGGTAAAGGGCTAGGAGTTATTTGTGATTCTCCTAGGACAGGAGGGAATTTTTGGTCTTTGGTTGTTGAGAAAATGCTTGGCTTCAGTTGAACGATTGATGACTCTGTTCCTAATTGGGTCCTTCATTTCATAGGGGAGCTCATTCCTGCCATGGAACGAGAGAAGGCGAGCCGTGAAAATCACATAATTGTTCAGATACCCGAACATGGCAATGTTACTCAATCAGTATCCGCTGCTGCTAATCCTTCAAATGGTTTAGAGTCGAACCATGAATGTTCACCAACTGCCGAGGCGCCATCTCAACCTTGCTCATCGCCTGCTGCCCCATCAACTGCTGCTGCACATTCATCATCTTCACTCTCGTACTACAAACTTATAGTCTCTATCAAGCTAACATACAATGCTATCCTGATTATCGCCTCCAGCGTTGTATTGATCGTGTCGAGGCATGAAACTCCATCGAACCCACTGTTTGCTTGGATTGTCGGTTATATAATCGGGTGTACAGCTAGTGTTCCAGTGGCTTTCAGGCATTGCTTCCTTCCCCATCTTAGGTAAGCCGTTGGTTCTTCCTTCTTCCAACTAGTTCTCCAGTTTGTTGTATATTGTTTTCCTGCTTGACCGATATGTTATGGCATCTTCAGGCTCTGTAGAATGATTGACCAATTTAAGCTTGCACTGGAGCTGTTTTATGCATCGTGGTTCATGGTTGGCAATTACTGGGTCTTCTCTGAAGATGCATCTAATCAAGCTCCTGGATTATACAAGTAACTTGCTGAAGCTGTCCATATGCTCCTGTCCTGTGTGGGTTGTCTGTTTAAGCCAAATCATCAGAATTAATCCCTCATATTGGGTATTTTGTGCAGCCACTGTGTCGCACTCATCGTTTGTAGCTACGTCAAGTATGTAGGGCCTTTTGTTTTACAGGCAATGGTAGTATGCTGCTGCGGGGGTTTCCGGAGTCCGATTGCAGGAGCCCCTACAGAAACCATAGAGGCTCTCCCAATCTACAAATTTAAATTGGGGAGTTCTTGTGGAGAACTTGACGGACGAGCTGAAACCCATGATGGTGGAGTTGTGGGAGCAGGAACCGAGAGGGAACGAAATCTTTCAGGGGATGATGCTGTAAGTTCTTTTGGATTAAAATAATCCTTTTGAATCATATATTGATTGGTCTTTTCACTCACCAACCTTAACAGGCTTGTTGCATTTGCTTGGCGAGTTATCGAGATGACGACGAGCTGAAAGAGCTACCTTGTTCTCATTTGTTCCATGCGAGCTGTGTGGATATATGGCTCAAGCTAAAGGCGTTTTGTCCACTCTGCAAATGTATGGTTGTTAGGGCCATAGCCGTTCCACCTTCAGCTCCAAGCTCAGTTCAGTGAACATGCCGAGAGGCAAGAATACCTGCCCTTAGAGTTGCACATATATGGATTCTTTGCTAACTTCTATAGACTCACTCACTGTAAATTGTTAGTTAGGGGAACCAACTCATACTGCTGAAGCAAGTTAGAGATTCTGCAGTAATCTAGATTTGTTCCTTGTAGATAGGGAAGTAGTTCTTCATAATGATATTGCTTATCAAGGTAGGAGAAAATGCACGGGATTATTTTGGTATTATTTTGATAGATCAAATGCAACAAAGCTACGATAGATCAGAAGGACAATGCTGTCATGAACCAGTTGCTCCCAATAACTCGAGTTGTTGGGAGAAGGTTCTGCTGGATCTTATATCACACTCTAACACGCCCCCTCAAACGAAAGCCAACCCATGGGCTTGAAGTTTGCACAGGCCCACCATACCATGTGCTTGAAAGACAACGGTTAATATTGGGGGTCGTGGAGATTCGAACACATGACCTTTTGGTTTGAGGCTCTGATACCATGTCATGAACCAGTTGATCCCAATAACTCGAGTTGTTGGGAGAGGTTCAATCGTGGATTATATACCACAACACTAACACGCCCCCTCAAACGAAAGCCACTCACAAGGGCTTGAAGTTTGCACTGGTCTGAAGACAAGAATACCATGTGCTTAACAAATGGGGGTCACCGGGAATCGAACACAAGACCTCTCGGTCACAGAAGGCTCTGATACCATGTCATGAACCAGTTGCTCCCAATAACTCGAGTTGTTGGGAGAAGGTTCTGCTGGATCTTATATCACACTCTAACAAATGCTTCATCTGCTTCATTCTAATACCAAGTCCTTGATGCTACTAACTCATGAAAGAGCCGTAGTTGACTGCTGTTTCAGCTTTAGAAGAGCATCGAAGCTGCAAGAGCCATCAACATCCACCCTCCAATCATCACCTTCATCTTTTGGCCGTCATTACTGCTGGTAGCAGGAGAAGCCTTCGAGTCTTTCGAGCTGGAATCAGTGGAAGTAGAAGAAGGCGACGTAGTTGTAGAACTCACTGGGGAATCTTTTGGGGAGCTTGAACTGCCAGTGGAAGAAGAATCTGAATCTCCTGCTTGTTTGAAGATCTTCGCATCTGGCGAGTCGGGAGAGATGTTCAAGAGAGCTGCAAAAAAGAAAGACCATGCATGGTGAGCACAACTTCTTAGCTAGGCATGCCATGAAAAGAACCATTAAACATGGGAAATCGGGCATACTCGGGCAGTTGGAGACTTTGGCATCAATGTTGCACGCAGAGGGCATTTCAAGGGCGAGAGTGGTGTTGATAGGAAGACCCATGGAAGGGTCAGTGCTCTCTTTGATGAGAACGCACAGGCATTTCGGTTCGGTTTCCTTCAGCTTCTTGGCGTCCTGGCAGCACTCGGGCGTCGGCTTCTTGGCAGTGCCGCTCACATATGGAATGCAAGCTGCGAGATCCGTGAGGTGCTGTGCACACTCGGTCTCGGCGTCCTGCAATGTCGCTGCTGTTGCTGCCGTGATGGCCAATGAGGCCACGATGAGGCATACCAAGGTCATGTTTCTGTCTTGTGCCATCCTCTTCTCTCCCACTTTTTCTTTCACTGTGTGTTTAGAAGTGCTGTTAAGTGGGTTTGCTAAGGAAGCTATTCAGTCACACTCTCTATGTTGAGATGGTCGAGACTCAGCATGGCTATATATATACACACAAATGTACAGGGGTCCCCTTTTGAAAATGTGGTCATATTTGCAGTGCATTTACTTGCTTCCTAATGTGAAAATCACAAAAAATATGAAAGGCAGTGCTATGGAAGAGTAATGAATGAGAAAGAGGTGTTGTTGTCAAGCTATTTAACATTATTTGGGAATGATGGTGGATGAAGAAGAGATGAGATTATGTGGGAAACACAATTATTTACAGTTTTTGGTTATTTCGTATTAGTGTCGGTTTTTATTGATTGGGGGATTATTTGGGTATTTGGGGGAATAAACAGGGAGTTAATTGTTACGTTTTATTATTCGGGTAGCAGATAGGAATTAGACAGGTTATATAATCTGTAATAGGGTCTTATTTTGGGATTAAGCAATTACAGAACCAAAACCTAAATCCTAACTCTCTCTCCCCTCTCTCCTGCGTGTTCTATCTCTCTCTTTTCTCCCTCCAAAGCTGCGGCAGCAGCAGCCCAAATTCTTCCCTCTTCTTGTTCTAAATCCCCAATTCTAATCCCTAGTTGGATCAATCCCTAATTGATCTAGCTAAATTCCCCAATTCCCATTCTGTAGGAAATCTTGTTTCCTACATCTGGTATCAGAGCCCGGTTCGAGGATTGAGTTTTTCACAACTCTCAACCGGGGACGAGTTCTACAACTGGTTCGACGATGAGCTCTTCAAGGCTATCAGACCTGTCATGGGCGGAACTGCGGGAACAGGCAAGCCGCATCGGACGCCGTTGGCGCTCCGAAGAGTCACCGACCGTGCAAGCAGAGACGGTGACCCTAGAAACCCTGTCATGGGCAGAGCTGCGTGACCGGGCTCGCCGCATCGGACGTCGCTCACCAGTGGTGGTGCAATCCAAGAGCTGCCCGACGGTGGAAGGTTTGACGGCAATGTCACTGGTCCGAGCAGCAGCGGAGGAACGCGATCCGGAGCCGAGATCAGTCGTGGAGGCGAAGGAGTTGCGGTTGTTGGCCAAACCGCTGGTCAAGGCAGGTGCACTGCTCCACACTGAACTGAAGGAAGAAGCGGCGACGCTAGAGACTACTAATAAATCAGTCCAGGAAGAAGGAGAAGCCGATGTGGTTCCTGAAGTTGGTAAGAAATTTGATGTTGCAATATGGGTGCATGTTACAAAGCTTGATTTTGAAGGTATTCCTCGGCCAGTGGAGAAGATGGGTTGTGGCTTGTGGAAATCAATAAAGGTTGAAGGTGTCCAAAATTCATTGCTAATTACGATTGAAAGGAAAATGTCAATTGGTGGATATATGGATTCATTCACCAACATCCATTCATCGCCATTATTCTGTATAGATCCTGGCGGAGGATGCTTCAAACTGATAGTTGCGGGTGAAAGTCTCGCCGCTGGGGAGGGAAAAATAGGCGACATCAGGGTGTTAAAGGAAGATGGAGAGTACGATGCAGAGTTGAAGCGGAGAAACGCCAACTTGTTGGTGCCCTTCCTCGACGAGTGGAACTCGATTTCCGAGAACGAAAGCGCCGGGAATGTAGACGGCGGAGTTTTGAATCAGCTGCCACTGGAGATGGAAGGCGATCTCGAGGTCAAGGACACCACAGCAACCACCCCTGCGGGATCCATAGCCAGCTTTCCCAGCAACGAAACCTCACTTGTAAGAAAGATGTCTACTAGCGGATGGACCAAGATGCCGAATCCGATCCATGAGGAAGACACCCCGGAGTTGCCTCTGTTCGTCTATGCCAACAGAGGTACGACTACCTTCAGTTTGGGGCGAGGTTTTGTAGAGTTGAACGGGGATGATGTTAAAGGGGCCGCCGACTTATCAAAGTCGGAGAGGAATAATAGAAGAATTTTGTTGCCCATCTATGGCTGGAAAATCAGAGAGAAGAAGATGCATGTTTGTACTGTCGGTTGGACCAGCAAAATAGATGGAGGTGGAGGATTTATTATTGATGAGAGGCAGAGCAAATATCCAATCAAATCGCCAGGTGCATTGTGGAAGTTGTTGTCTCTTAGCAGGAAAGGACGTGGATGTCTAACCCCCAACGTGGATCTTGCTGGCCGAAGAGAGGAAGGGATTATGGTGTTTGTCAAGAAGTTACAAACGGTGGACGAGAATGGGAAGCTCAAGTTGGAAGCTGTTTTGGGTGATCTTAATGTAGAGACAGCTCTTGTGGGCGGCTACGTTAAACATGACAGTAAGCTTTTCTATGAAATGGCTATGATTCTTATGAATGGAGTTGGTCAAAGGATGGATGAGGTCGATTATTTGGAGTCTACTGCCATGGGACAAATAGTTCATGCTTATGAGTTAAGTTTAGTGGAATACGTAACATGGGGTGGCAAGAGGGGAAAGATCATCATTCCGCTGGAAATGAGTACTGGAGGGAAGTGACAGCATAATTATGTAACTATCGTTGGCAAAGAATTTCAGTGGGGTCATGCTTCCCTACGTGATGAAACCAAAGCCTTTTGGTTGTCTTTAGGGGCTTTGGTGCGAATGGAAAGAGAATGGACTAGCTGGGGATTTCAGAAGCAGAGGTGGACTGAAGCTGGAAGGATGGATGCCGATTGGCAAGTTGAAAGTTTATTTGTGACAGAAGAGGACAAAGTTGGAACTCTTGACGCTAGACGACGTGGAGGCTCGGTAGGCACTCCTTGTGTCGTGTTTAGCAAGAGATTGAACGTGGTCCTTTCATGTAATTGGAAGAAGAGGAAGCTCAAGCAACGTCAAAGCCAATGGCGAGATACCACGACAAAAGAGAGGGGAATTCGTGATATTGGCTACAACCTTGAGGACAAGGTTGTTTTTCGAAGGAAGAGGGGATGTGGGAAACACAATTATTTACAGTTTTTGGTTATTTCGTATTAGTGTCGGTTTTTATTGATTGGGGGATTATTTGGGTATTTGGGGGAATAAACAGGGAGTTAATTGTTACGTTTTATTATTCGGGTAGCAGATAGGAATTAGACAGGTTATATAATCTGTAATAGGGTCTTATTTTGGGATTAAGCAATTACAGAACCAAAACCTAAATCCTAACTCTCTCTCCCCTCTCTCCTGCGTGTTCTATCTCTCTCTTTTCTCCCTCCAAAGCTGCGGCAGCAGCAGCCCAAATTCTTCCCTCTTCTTGTTCTAAATCCCCAATTCTAATCCCTAGTTGGATCAATCCCTAATTGATCTAGCTAAATTCCCCAATTCCCATTCTGTAGGAAATCTTGTTTCCTACAGATTATATGGCATTTAACTCTTTTTTCTTGAGAAATGGTTCTTTCCATCTCCCAAGGACTGGATAATATCTGCCACAGCATTCATCGTTTATGGGCAGTCTAGCTTCCATTTGTTGTGCAAAAACCACTTATCTTAGTATGTATGGTTTTCTATGCTTATTGTGATGTGTCGATCGATAGAGTACATGCTCAATGCTCATTTGTGAATGAGCACACACCCAATTCATTGGTGTTGCATTTGGTTCAGTTTCAAAGTGCGCTTAACATCCATAGAAAAGGAATATAAAGAATGAGTGTTGTCTATATAGAAGTATTAATCTATGGAAGTATCCGTGAAGTCGGATTGCTCCGGATAGTCGTATTGGTTCAGTCATATATTGGACATAACAACTGTGAGGGTTATTATTTGCCATTAAATCGATTCATAGAGGAAATGGATCGACTTGTATTATCGTGTTTATCTTAAAGCATGTGGCCATTCGAATTGAATGAAATGACTTGAAGGCCTTTCAAACTAATAACTAAGCCGGTTCGCCAAGCATATGATGCCTAGCTTGCTTGACTTAGTGAAGTGCCAATAAAAGGGTACCAAGACTGAATTTGATTGACTTTTAGAATACGTTTTTGTGAATTTAGGGTCGATTTTGGTCTCGGTATTATCGAGTACCTCATACCATGGATTTTAATGCAATGTAATTTATCAATTCCTATCAGTTCCTTGTGTGCAAAATCTTACAAACCTAACAACTTAAATAACAAAATCAATATGCAACCCAAGCAGCTTTGAGTCGCTAAGGAAATGGTAAGTTATGAGCTAGAAAGAACAAATGCAAAAGCATCACAAACATCAGAAAATCTATTCCACATTTCCACCCAACATACAGTCCCACAAAACCATCTCTATACCAATAAAGGGCAAATAATCGGCCGCCATGAAAAATGTACAGCTGCTTCATCTTTACATAACCCGAAAAACGACTTCCACCCTCTCTGTTCTTTCCCTTTCACTCTTATGATTAACCACAAATCTTCGTCGAACCCACGACTATGAGAGTTTGTAAGATACCAATAACAACACCCACGGAATCACCAAACCACAAACAAGAGAAATCTTGGGAATGTACAATGAGAGACTATACAGAGACTGACTAGTAAATGTGAAACATAGCAAATGCTAAAACTGATTATTGTTGGGAGCTGGAAGGGCATAAGTTAGTCTTGACGACGAACTCTCAATAAGACCTGCAACTCCTGCCGCAGCAGATTGGGCACTCGATGGTAGGAAGAGATCGTGTTTCTGGTCCTTGTACGCGCGCCATACCTGGAGTGAAATGGTAAGAAGTTGGCCAGAGAACTCAGAAATGTACTAGGGCCTAAACAAAAACAAGTCCACTTTACGAGAGAAGAGATGAATCATTCAAAACTTACATCAGAGGAGTCCAGCAACTCTCGGACTTTGCTACAGTGAGCTCCTTCAGTTGCAAATGCATGCAAAACCTACACCCAACAACAGTAATCATGGAATGCAAACACAACTATCGTTAATGTACTGGTATCATAACGTTGAACTGACTAGCGTTGAATCTATTATGACACAATGCAATACTCTTTTATTTAACTGGTTTAATGTCTTATTGGAGATGTTTTCAACATGAGCAAACACTAGGGAGATGAAAGGGTATGTCATGGATAAGGGCTACACCATATAGAATGTGATATAAAGATGTTACTATCACAAGAAAACTCCATATAGAATGTGATATTCGATAAGGCTACACCTGGTGTGGTACAATCTGATAGGACCCCGTTCACAGTGAAAATCCGATATCAGATGAGAAGAAAACCCAACAAGTACCAAGAAGGTGAAATAAGAGGTAAGGTTCATAAGCCTACCTCGACTGCAAGCACTGTGCCGATAGATGCTTCAGATTCATT